TTTAAGTCATTAATTACATAACAGTATAAGAAAACACTTCAAATTCGGGGACCCCTAGCCAAAAACCTCAACCTTTCTGATGGGTGAGACTCCTCAGAGATGCGAGCTCTAAAACCAAATATATAAAGTACCGGTTGTGATATGTTGCTAGCCATATTTCATTTTTTACTTTTATTCTGACTCTTAACTATTGCCTTGTGTTTATTGATATATGGTTGAACTTCCTCAGTGTTGTGTAAAACATACAAGTGAACTTGCTCTCATTGTGTCTTGTCTGTGCTAATGAGTTTCTTCCAATGATTCCACCCTGTTCACCTGTGGTGTCTTTTGTTTACTTTGGCAAACCCAATGGCATCCATATTAGAGAGATATCCAGTGCATAATTCAACTGCTTCTTTCATGATGTACCTCTCAACAATACACCCCTCGGCCAACTTCGATTTTTTTACATATCCTTTTAATACTTTCAAGTACGCTCTATGGGTACATCCATCTCAAATAAGCGGGGCACACAACTTTATCTCTCTAACTAAGTGAAATGATAAATGAACCATGATGTCAAAGAACGAAGGCGAAAAATACATTTCCAGCTCGCTTAAAATCTTAGCTATTTTATGTTCTAGCTTTGGGAAATTTTTCTAGGTCAATCACCTTGCTACAAAGTGCCTTAAAGAAGAAAACAAAATCTAGTAATCGTGGCTCGCACCTTCTTCAGCAAAATGGATGTATACCAATGGCAATAAAATTTTCCATGATGATATGACAATCATAAGTCTTGAGACCTACTAGTTGAGGTCTTTCATGGATACGAGGCTACTTACATTTGAAGAATATCCTTCTGGCACTTTAACTTCATGCAAGAATTCACAGAAAGCTAATTTTTCCTTTCTAAACAAGGTGTGAGCTGCTGGGGTAAAAAAGTGCATTTTCCCTTCCTCTCTAGTGCCAACTCTTCTCTTAACCCCATACTAATCAAGTCCATCCTTGCATTAATACTGTCCTTACTCTTTCCTGAAATGTGGAGTAATGTGCCAACAAGACTATCGCAGACATTCTTTTCGATGTGTATTGCATCCAGGAAATGCCTAACATCTAGGGTCTTCTTTTTCCAACTATTCTCAACAATCTTACTTGTAATGGTTTTCCAAATCAATATTTAAATCTTTAACCTTTTTAAAGAGCTGCTCACTTGTTAATGGCATGGGAACTCTCCTTCTCCGGGTCGCCATTAAAGGCCTTCTTCAATTATCGGATAATGATGCGTTTGCGGCAAAAATCATCGATGACCAATGAAGGCATTCTCCCTACAATGTTCCAACCCACTGAACAAGTATGCTCCCCACATACTGGACATGCATCTATCTTTTGATACTATATCTTGATAAATTGCCATAGGCAAGAAAGTCACTTATAGTGCCAAACAACATTGCTTGCAGGATGAAAATGTTCTTCTCTATACCCATCATAACTTCCATACCTGTCTCCCACAAAATCTTTAAATCTTCAATCAAAGGAGCTAAGTACACATTATATCATTTCTTGGTTGTCAAGGCCCAGAAATCAACAATGACAGTATCATAAATTTGTGCTTCATGCACAATGCTGGAGCAAGGTTTATAGATCATCAAAATAACCAGTCATTTACTATAAGTACTACTTTGCATGCCATGTGGGTTCATTCCGTCAGTGGCTAGTGCAAGGCGTAAGTTTCTATCTTCAACCCCAAACTCAGGGGATATAAGATCAAGGAATTTTTCCATTGAGGAGAATCTACAGGGAGTCGTAGTTTGCCATCCTTAATTCTCTCATCAGCATGCCATGTTAAGTGTTTAGCATCTTTTGCAATGCTGTATAGGTGTTAAATCTTGGTATGATTGAAAAATACCAATGCCTTCGCTGGGCTACATCCATTTCTTTTGTACCATGATGCATCACATTTTGGACACTTATTTAAGGTTGAATACTCTTTCTAAAAGAGGACACAATCATTTGTACATGCATGTATCTTCTCATAGCTCATCCTAATAGAACAGAGCACTTTTTTAGCTTCGTAAGTATTAGGTGGAAGCTCGTTGTACTCGGGTAACATTTCATATAAGAGTTCAAGCAAATCTATGAAACTCTTATCGCTCCATATATTTGCTGCTTTTGGTTGTATAGTTTCAAAATAACTGATAGTTTTATGAATTTTTACAACCAGGGTATAATGGTTTGTCAGCATCACTCTTCAATCTCTCAAATATCTCAGGACAGTCCCTAAGATCCTCTTCAATCACATCAATCATTTCATCAAGACGGTCAACATCATATATCCCACTATCACGATCAAATGTTGAGTAGCTTGCACTATCCCTCCAATCACTTGCATTATTCCTTGTCTCCCCATGCATGGTCCAACAAGTATAAGTTAGATCATCCCATACATATTAAATGATCTTTCAATTCTATTGGCTTTACTCTTTTTCCATAGCAACATTTCAAACAAGGACATATGACTCCACGGGGGTCTTGATCACGACAAAATAAAATTCAATGAATTCATCCATACCATCCCAATATTATCTAGATAGTCGATTAGCGGACATCCCACTTATGATCTATATCACTAATATGATTACCAAAATTCAATAAACAAAAGACTTAGATTTCTATAAAAAAAAATTCAACAATCTTCCTTAAAAGAAGAACTTTTTAATGATCAAACAATCCAATTCCACAACATATACATTAAACTAAAAAAATCAATTCATCCAAATAAAAATTTAGTAGCATAATGCATCTAAATTTTGTCAATCAATTGTAATTTAATTAATAACAATAATCTCTCTTAAAAGTATATTTCATAAATAAATAAAAATGTTCAAGTAGTTCCTCAACTTTAATCTAAATTATCAACTACAATTATTCCATAATTTTAATATAAATAACTTCAATTCATATATTATCTATAATATTGATTATTAAAAAATATTTAAATTTATTCTTAAATATATAAATTAATTATTAAAAAAATAACTTCAAAGTGTAGTCTTCACGGCAGATAAAGGCGGTATTCATGGCAGCAGCGACATCGCTTCCTCCACTGTACAGCAGCAACGCACGGTGAAAACGGTGGTCTTCACAGCATCGCTTCCTCTGGTGTATAGCAGCAAACATTAAACAGTATCTTCCAGAGCGCTTAAGTACGAGCGCTCTCAAAGGTATTTTTAAATTTTTTACAATATTTTATTTATATTAATTAGGAGCGTTATCTTATTGAGAAGCCTGACATACAGGAGCGCTTATTTATAAAAAGCGCTGGTAAATTCTGCATTTACATTTTAGAGTGCTTATTTAAAAAGCTCTCTTAAATACCCGCTCCTAAAGATATATTCTGTAGTAGTGACGTTAGTACTTGTTAAAAGCACTAAAATACATTTCTGATACGTTCTCTCTCTTATCTCCTATAGCTGTGCTTAGCTTCCTCTGTGTGTGTTACTTTATTCTCGTGACCTTCCATCTACTCTAAAAACACACATAGATCTCGTATAAAGCTCTACACACCTCAGATCTGCCTCCTTCTGTTAGTCATTTGCTCCTTCTGGCCAATTTCTAGCTCCAGTCATCTGCGTCCAACCGATCTCCAGCTCATTACTGTCTTTTCTAGCGTCCACCTTACTTCAAAGTGCTTCTTCTTCCTATTGCCTCTCGATCTCCATTGTGTCCATCGAATCTATACTTCCCATCACCAGATCTGCTCTCTATCGCTTGTCTCTGTCAAGTAATGTCATTCTTTTTTTCATCTCTGTCTTTGCTTCCTTCTTGTCGTGTTTGCTCTTCATTCTTTGAAGACTATTTTTACTTAGACCTGTCGTGCTCTACTATTCCAGAACTGATAATGCTTGTTACTCTTTTTACGTTCCATCCCCTGTTTTGTTTACGTTAGAGTAGAGGAAGACTTGGCTTTTTTTTTGAACTCGAGTTACTGGTCTTTATTTTCATGGCTTGTTGTCCTCTGCTGTTCCAGAACTGATCTGTGCTTGGTCTCCTCTTTATTTTCCATCCCCATTTCGTTTATCTTAGAGCAGAGGAAGAGTTGTTGTTTTTTTTTGGAACTCGAGTTGCTATTTTTTGTTTTCTTGATCTGTCATGCTCTGTATGTGTGCGTGTAATGAAAGACTGATAATGTTGTTATAATGCTTGTTTTTACGGCCGATCTTCTGGAACTAAAGTTATTGTTATTTATAATGCTGTTAGATGAATATGGAAGCTTGAAATCTAAAAGCAATCCCTTGTTCATTCATTCCCTGTTCATTTTATTTTTTGGTGAGTTGAAAGGCTCATGATTTTCTTGAAAAGGTAAAAATAGCTTTCTGGAAAACGCATGCATGCTGTGCGAATTGATTCTTCTATAATGCAGTACGAAAATAGCTTTCTAACATGGATTTCTCTTGCTTTGATAGAAGGGATAAAGGCATAACTTTCTAACATGGATTTAGAAAATTTTGAGAATGTTTGGATCATCCATGGTTATTTTACAATCCTAGAAATCTATACATTATCAACAAATAAATGGTTGGGATTGCAAAGATAGAAGGGAAAAAAATTTAGTGTACATATTTATTTAAGCATAGCTTCCTGGAAATTTAGTGTACATATTTATTTAAGCGTAGCTTCCTGTAAAAAAATTTAGTGTACATAGCTTCCTGGAAAACGCATGCATGTCATATTTTTAATGTACTAATTAGATATTTATTTTCTTACAATTTATTATATTACATATTATTTTCTTAATTTATTCTTTTTAAAGTTTAAAGATTCTAAAATCTGTTTCTTAATGTTAGTCTAATTGGATAAGAGAAATTAGGAGTTAGCTGGGTTTATTAAGAGAGATGACTGTAGCTAATATTCTTGAAAGCTTGAGATCTGATTACAATCCCCTATTCATTTTCAAGGATACATATATGTAGAGATATATATTAATTTTGCATGTTTGTGATGGTTGGCTAGTTTATAGAACAATGAATAGCGACAATGGAAAAGCTGTGTGGAATTCAATCTTGACAGAAATTTTCAATAAGGAATGCTTGGAGCAAGTGTACAAGAAACAAAGGAAGGGAACTACTTTCAACAAAAATGGGTGGCAAGCAATAATTGAGGGGTTTGAGGCAAAAACAGGAAAAAGGTATGAGTGAAAGCAATTGAAAAATAGCAAGATAACATGAAGAAAGAATGAAACGTATGGCATAAGTTGTTTTCAAGTGAAACCAGCTTAGGATGAGACAGTGACAAGAATACTGTTGATGCTCTAGATGAGTGGTGGGAGTGAAAAATCTTGGTATGGATTAGTTGTTAAGTGTTTTTAAGAATTTAATTTGAGAATTTTAATTGTTGGTTATTTGAATGGTTGCAGGAAAATCCCCTTTATGAAAAATTTAGATATAAAGGTTTGAGATTTGCAAGGGAATTAACTTTGATATTCAAGAATGTCCTGGTAACTGGAGAGACACTTTTTGTACCATCTGTTACCCAAACCCAAATAGAGGATGATGACGATGAGGATGTGTACTGCCCTACTATTGACCTTCGAGAAGGCTCCAGTGATAGTGAAGAGGAACTAAATTTATCTAACACTGCAGCACCTACAGGGGTCACTGATGAGCTGTTGGGCTTGAATGTGACCACAAATACTGGTAAAACCAGTGGTGACGGAAGTCAAGGCAAGAGAAAGAGGGTTGTAAGCATTGGTGGGAGGAAAAAGCAAAAAGTCCCTACCTTAATAAAAATAGCAGATGCGATGAGTGAAATGGCTAAGGATAATAGAGCAAGAACAGAGACAGTGAACAAGATTTTAGCAAATGACATCGGAGTTTCTGAGGTTGTGGCTCACCTAAATGGACTCCCAGAAGTTTTTGGTGATAAAGATATACATTGGAGATATGTCAATCTTGTTCTGTACAAGTCTATGCGAGATGCTTACTGGCAACTTAAAGATCATCCTAATTACTTGGTCAATTGGTTGAAGCACCAAGTTTACCATCCACCAGATTGGATTTCAAAAAATACATCTGGATGAATTTTTATCTAGGCTTATGATGACTTGACTTGTGTTTGACTTGTAGTTGCTTTATTTTGACTTATAATTTGCAAATGATGACTTGGTTTGTAGTGAATATTTAACTCTTATCTAATGTTTATCTTATGCTTTATCTTTTATGATATTTATATACTATGTACTTTATATTATATACAAATGATATTTACATACTATTTTACCTCAGGTTTAAAAATCATGAAAGATTCGAATGAATATATGTTAGGTTGGAATGAAGGTTGAGATGTAAATGTGGCTCATCAACTACTTCCCTTGTTACAGCAAGATATAATGGAGCAAGAAGAAATATGTCAATTAGTTAGTGAATATGTGATGCCATATGTGTGTAAAAAGCCATGGAGAACTAGCATGCAAACAGGACAAATGTGGGTCATTGAGATTTTACAAGGTCATCCTGATCGTTGTTATGAAATGTTTCAAAAGAAAAAATATTTGTTTAGGCAACTGTGTGCGACACTAGTTGATCTTAGTCTAAGAAATCTAAAAAAATGGGAGTAGAAGAAATGGTTGAAATGTTTTTAAATACAGTTGGACATGGAGTTGGTAATAGGATGATATAGGAATGATTTCAGCATTCAGGGGAAATTGTTCATAGAAATTTTCATAAAGTATTAGATACCTACCTTAACCTTTCCAAGACAAACATAAAGCCACTCGATCCTTTGTTTCAACAATATCATTCAAAAATTCAAAATGATCTACAGCATTGGCCATTCTTTAAGGATGCTATAGGAGCAATTGATGGCACTCATATGCCATGCGTGGTTAATGTTGCTAATCAAATCAAATTTATTGGAAGAAAGGGATATGCAACACAGAATGTTATGGCTATATATGATTGGGACATGTGTTTTACTTTTGTCATTACGGGATGGGAAGGTACGGCTCATGATGCTCGAGTATTTGATAATGCCATATCAACTCCTTCAATGCATTTTTCGCATCCATCTCCAGGTATATTTTATTAAAGTCACTATAATTATTATTGCATTGATTTAATGTTGGTCAAATTTACATCACTTTGTTTCATTTAATAGATAAATATTATTTGGTTGATTCTAGTTATCCAACACTAAATGAGTATCTTGGTCCATATCGTTGTGAACGTTATCACCTTCCAGACTTTAGGCGAGTTGCAGGATTTGCAAATAATAATGAGGTCTTCAATTATTACCATTCAAGTCTAAGATGCACTATAAAAAGAACTTTTAGAGTGTGGAAGAATAGGTTTGCAATTATACGAAAAATGTTCAAATTTAAATATAAAACACAAGTTCAAATTGTTTGTGCAACAATGACAATACATAATTTTATTAGGAGAAATTCAATTATTGACGAATAGTTCATACAAGCTACTCCCTCCGGTCCCATTTATAAGTCCAATTTTAGAAGGTGTATTTGGTCCCATTTATAAGTTACGGTGCGTTTTTTTAGGTAATATTTGAGAGGTATTTCCAAAATTACCCTTCATGAGAGAGAAAAAGTAACAGGACATTACTTTTTAGATTTGTTATATAGGGGTGTTTGGAATTTTATTTATTTTATTCCTTGTACTTTTATTATATTGGTATTGATGAGGTTGGTAGAAATGACTTATAAATAGGACCGGAGGAAGTAAAGATGAAAGTATAGAAGTCCAGGAGGAAGATATCGAAATTGGTGAAGCATTCTCGTCAAATCTACCCAGATCATCAAGACAGATGCAGCGTGTTCGTGATATAATTAAAGATCAACTTGTAAATTATATCAATTAAATATTAATTTATTTTAGATTTTCATGGTTGAATATTTAAGATATTTTACTTATTAGTTGTGATTTTAAGTTTAACATTTTTTATTTATTAGTTAGTCAAAAAAATATAAACATGCTTATTTAAGATTTAATATTTAAGATAAAAAACTCATGTTTATTTTTGCCATTAAATATTTCAACTGGCTTTTGAATTAAACCATCCAAACGAATTTCATTTTATCTGATTGACTTTAAAAAAATAATATTCAAATATAAATTATGTAACATCAACTGAATTTTCTTCTAACCTTAATTTACTAACCTCAATTAAATCCAAACTTCAATTATAATTTTTAATCCAAAAACACACATCCTTCATATCCTCGGTCTGCTAGGTCGAATGTGATCCACAAGTGAGTTGCGTTGCCTTGTTCCAAAATCCTTGTCAGAAACAGCACCAGATTCACTGCTCCTCCAAAAATATGCCAAAGTTGCCAGACCTTGATTCACTGCATCGTATACATAATCACACACTTACACTTAATTAGTCGTGTGTATGCTTTATGGGAATATCAATTTTGAGTATGCCATGATTTGATTTATACTGATTCCATTTGTTCAAATAATGACCAGAAAAATACTTCAGCGCTTGCGTAATAGAAAAAGAATATAAAGATCACACACACACACACACAATGACAATCACTAGTTAATTTGAAGATCAATTTAATTATAGGTACCAAAATATAAAATGTTAAATTATAAAAAAAAATCAAGAATTAAGTGAAGTTATAGGAACTAAAAAGAATAATCTCATCTACAGTTTAGTAGGAGAATTGTTATTTAATAATTTCTTCTTAATGCTCTTTTAGGAATTCAAGAAAAGTGGGGTTAGGTTAGGTGGATAAGGTTGAGTAAAGAATCTATTTAGGTTTATTCCTTACATGTAATGTAACACTACTGAAAGTAATAAACCAATGATCAACAAATAAGGACCAAACAAACGGAAAATTTATTAATAACTGATTAAGAGGCGTAAAATATTGGTTGTTAAGGACTGAATAAATAGCGATTAAAAACAGAGGGACCAGATTGAAAGTTAGGTGAAAGTTTGAAGATAGAAACTGTGTTTTCCCCAAGTATAATATATAGCTAAAAGAAGTGAGGGAATTAAAGAGGCATTACTAGGCATTCGAATTTAAAATGTTGTGGACTTGAATGATTGAGGTGACATGTATAATAGGGGAAGTAAAATAGTTTGCTTCAGAATTGCAATGATATAGTTCAGTTAATCTGTTTTATTTATTGTTAAGTAAATAATAGTAATTAGTTAGAGAATAAGTGTGTATATACACCAAGTCACCAACATACATTGTACTTTTAGAGCAAGTTAATGCAATTACTTTTCTCACTTCTCTGAGCAAACACGTGATATGGTATCAGAGCAAATCTCGTCTGCTTCGTTGTTTCTGTCCTTTCTCTGCTTCTTTTCTCTTTCTTGCCTTCTCATCTCGGTTTTGCCGTCTTCTCTTTCATGAGTACTTCCAGTGGTTTTTCTTCGGTCACTCTGCCCTTCTCCGATGCAGCACTTAATTCGGCCAGTCATTACTACTTGCATCCCAATGAAAATCTGGCGCTTGTGCTCGTTACTCCTTCTCTCATTGGTTCCAATTATCATCCCTGGTCACGTGCGTGCGGATGGCCCTTCTCTCCAAGAACAAGCTCAAGTTTGTCGATGGCACTCTTCCTTGTCCTTCTCTGACAGATCCACTTCATTCGGCCTGGGAACGGTGTGATACAATGGTTCAGGTTTGGTTGACTCAATCTATCTCTCCGACCATTGCTGAAAGTATCATGTGGATTGATTGTGCCCATGATATCTGGAATGATCCTTGTGATCGGTTTTCTCAAAGAGATGCATTTCGGATTGCTGAACTTCAAGAGTAAATTTACATGCTCAAACAGGGCTATCTATCGATCAGTGAGTATTTTACTAAATTGAATGTGCTATCGGATGAATTTGTTAATCTTCAACCTATTAAATCTTGCGTTTGTGTTCTTGCTTGTTCTTGTGGTGCTAGTACATGTGCTAGTACTTATCAGGATCAAGATTTTGTAATTCGCTTTCTCAAGGGCCTCAATGATCATTTTGCTACTGCAAAATCCCGAATCATGCTTCTCAAGCCTTTTCCACCGATTAGCGAAGTGTTTAACCTCATTACTCAGCAAGAACGTGAACAAACCTTTGGTCTTGAACACAAGGCTCTCTTGGCAGCGAAAGAACCTTCTTGACCTCTTCAGTCTTTTTCCAAGTCTCAGTCTCAGAATAAAGTTTGCACTTATTGTGGAAATTCACGACATACCATTGAAACCTGTTGCAAAAGGCACGGCTATCCACCAGGCTTTAAATTTCGCAATTCTCTAGTTGTCCATAATGTAGCTGTTGTACCTGAGATTTCTGTATCTGATGCACATGACATTTTACCTACTCCATCTCTCGTTGCTCAACAGCACTATAGCTTTACACCTGAACAATATTGAAAACTTATCAGCTTGGTACAATCGGCTCCTCCTTCTTCCTCTACTCATTCATTAAATCATGTTTCTACTGCTCCTCTTATTCCCTCTCCTTTTAATACAAGTCAGTTTTATTTTTGGATTGTTGACACTGGTGCCATAGATCATATTTGTTCTACTCTTGACATCTCCTCTTATCATTCTATTCCTCCTATATTGATTAATCTTCCTAATGGTACTTATGTCACTATTACTATTGCTAGCACCATTTGTATTTCTGATGACATTATCCTTCATGATGTCTTCTTCATTCCTGAGTTTAAATGTAATCTCATTTCTGTTACCAAAACAACTCTTCATCTTGATTGTTGCCTTATTTTTTTGCCATTCTTTTTGTTATTTTCAGGCGATGACTCCTTGGAGGATGATTGGTATAGCTGAGGTGATTGATGGTCTTTACTTACTATGGCAAGAAGTCTCAGGTTCTCATTTTGCTGCTTCTGTTTCTACTTCTTTAAGTTCATCTTCGTGTAATCTTTGGCATTTTCGTTTAGGTCATCTTTCGCATTCCACTTTATCTATACTTCATCATCAATATCGTTTTATTGATTGTAACACTTCTTCTCCTTGTGATACATGTCATTTTACTAAGCAAAGGAAGCTCTCTTTTCCTATAAACACTATTAAATCGAATAAAATTTTTCAGTTAGTT